GGCGACATCGATAAAAACTTGCTATTTAATTTGTGGAAAATTATATAACCCGTAGGAAAGTATTGAACATTTTAAATAAACATTAGCTGTTTATTTAAAAAAATAAACAGCTAAAACAGAGGAAACGGCTAAATTAGTTTATTATGCTTATTTTCACAGCATAATGTCCTATGGTGTCTTACTTTGGGGTTCCGCATCCAGTTTAGACACGATATTTGTATTACAAAAGCAGGCTATTCGGGCCGTCTATGGCTTGGGTCCACGTGAGTCACTACGGCATATATTTAAGCAAATAAACGTTTTGACGCTTCCGTCGCTTTACATACTTGAGAACATCATGTATGTACGTAAGAATATCCACCTATTTACGAAAAAACAATCCACATCGCATCGGGGCCGTGGTGACACTCTGGAAGTACCGAGGTTTAGATTGGCTAAAACCAGAAAGTCGTTTCTTGGAAGATGCATCAACTTTTATAATAAAATAGGTGACATCCACAAACAACTAAGTATAAACAATTTCAAACAATTTGTAAAAGCTACCTTAATGGCAAGGGCCTACTATCCAAGAATACATTGAGGACAAGGATGTTTGGAAATGACTCTTGCTCTGCACTTGCAAGACCCCTGGCTGCTGCTGATTTTATACCTAAATAAGTGTGTATAATTGCATTAAAAAAAAAATATAACAAAAAGAACAAGACCGCAGAGTTTCTTGCCGGTTCTTCTCTGTGCAGGTCTAGTTTAGTGAACCAGTGGTAGATTTTTTGTTGACGTTCAATAAGAGCTTAAGTTAGGCCTATATTGAATAAATATACTTTGAGTTTGACTTTGAAAATATTTTTCGATGTTACTACAAAAATAACTGAATTTATTGACAAGTTAGTGTTTTTTGGGTTTCCGTACCCAAAGTTTACCCTTTGGGTACGGACACCAGAAAAGCAAAACGAAACCGTATTACTTAGAGTCTGCTGTTAGACAAAAGCAATTTTCACAGATGATGTATTTCTATTGCCGCTATAACACATAATGTACAGGTTGGCTTATATCCATTTTTTTAATTAAATTCTAGACATAAGTAATGTTATATAAAAAAAAATATTACTATTTAAAATTACTCTTAAGTAATTAATTACATTCATTTGAACTTATCAAAAAAAGGGCGTGATTTATACCCAACTCGTTTATTTTACGCGCGATCATTCATAACTAACACGCACACAAGTTCGTGCACAGTAAAATTTAAGTATTTATGAATGACTACCGCATTGTCAACACGTTCTGTTTTTTAGGGAATAGAATGGCATTTTTTTTTGTTTTTTTTTTTTTATTTCAATAAACGATTATACTACCGAGTTTGAACCTCCTGTGTAAATTTGGGCACTTCTCAAATATCTCCCTGTATTATACGCTGTAACACGCTATTAAAACGGAATAAAAAATATTTATGTGGGTCTCCCATACAACAGACCTGATTTTTTTGCCGTTTTATAGATAATGGTACGGACCAACGTGCGCGAGTCCGACTCGCACTTGGCTGGTTTTTTTATATGAAAAGGTGGTAAGCGAGCACGCAGTTTACCGTGTTTTCAGAGATTACTGATACTCTTTACAACACTCGACGGGTTGCAGAGGCTTATCAACCATTAAAAAGCTAGGCCCCGGCTACCTCACTCACCAGACGAAATGCGAGGGTATAGTACTTCCACTTAACGCCGGTCTTCTGTGAGGTCGTGGTACTTCACCGGACGAGTCTGCCCATTCCTGCAACAGTAATAGCTGCTGTACGGCCATACCACAACGGCAGCTATTGTGTGGCCCTACCACAACGTCTCGTTTTAGTTTTATAATGAATATTTTGATTGCTGTTTTTGTATCCAATGTTTCTGAACGTTAACTTTAATATATATTTTACTAAATTATTTTAATTGTCTCAACAATTACGCAGTATGTTAGGCCTTGGCGTGTTCGACATTTGAATAAAATTTTAATATTGTATATACAGCGTGTCGTTACCATCGCGACAATAATTGAACACACGTCTAACGCTACTTGCCAATAATCATAAAAAAAATATTAACGTTAAACAAAATCCATAATTAAAAAAATATATTTTTCAAACAAACTAATTAAGTAAAAAAGACACAAAATTTGTAACCTCCTATTCAACTCGCGCCACAGCGTCGCATTACAAGCCTCTCCTTCTAACAGTATGTTTTGTCTCTTTTAAATTCATTCAACCCATTCATATGCTTTGTGACCTTTACAAATGACCTTTACGTTACAGTTTTATACGTAAGGCTGTTCTAAAATTGTTTGTTTTGGAAAATTTAATAACTCGGTAAATGTTGATGTTTAAAGAATGTAAATGTTAAAAACAATTTTAAAAAGTTATCCTCTATATGTGTGTTCATTTATTGTCGCGGAGGTAACGACACGCTGTATAAAGTGTAAATAATCTGTTAATTTAAATGTCAGGGAAACATCTTACTGCAAATAATTTCTGATGAGAATCTAGTGTGATCGTAATTATAAACTTTTCACCATATCATCGTCATCAAACAATTCGTCTTACAAGTTTAAAATAACGCGTTAGTATACAATAAAGTTGATTATATTATAAAAATATAAATAGCAAGCCGCCAAGTTGCGGTTATAAACCACACCGCAAGCATAGTTTTACTTTCTAGAAGAGATTAACCATTGGATTGGAAAAAATATTGCACATTGCAAGGCGCAGAATAGAGCACAGGCAGAGGTAACAATTACTATAAATCTTATTAAAACATCACGGTATTAGAGAACTAGAACGAGATGACTCCGTGGCGCAGTTGCCAAGTTATTGGCTTCGGCGTCGGGGGTCGTGGGTTCGATTCCCACACAGGACAACTATTTGTGTGACCCACAGATAGTTGTTTCGCATCTGGGTGTTTTTCCTCGTGTAATTTATGTTTGTAAAACGTCCTTACAACACAAGATAATATTATCCTAAAGTGAGGGCAATGTTTATAAAAAAAAGTTTTTTTCTACCGGCCGCCTGCCTGAAGTTACAATGGGCATACAATACTTGCCCTCTATAGCAATCGAACTCGCACCACCTAGGGTTGAAGCCAATGCCTTAAAACCACGCTACCGAATCATCAAAACCAAGTTATATATCTATGAATTATTATGTTTGTAATGAAGTATATACTGAAGATCTACATGCATTACTAAGATATTATCATAACACTATTATAGTGTTTCGTTAATGTACCATTTACATATTTGAAACGGCACCGAGACGCTGGATAGTCTTATAAAAATGTTCAAGTGAAATAAACTTTAACACTTATTAAACTTGGTAATAAATAATGTACTTCTGTATAGTATTCGCGTAAGAAATAAAAACCAACCAAATGTGAGTCGGACTCGCGCACGAAGAGTTCCGAACCAACATCTATAAAGATGGCAAAAAAAATATCATATTGTATGGGTGCCCACTTAAATACTTTTTATTCTGTTTTTTAGTATTTGCATAGTTTTACATTAACAATAAATACGATGTATTTCTGTTGCCACTATAACGGCAACAGAAATACATTGTCTGCGACAATTTGACTATCACGGTTCATGAGAGCCTGGTAACAGACGGACAGACAGACAGACAAACAGATAGCGGAGTCTTTGTAAAAGGGTCCCGTTTATAAAATTTAATACTTATATTTTGTGGTAAATACTGAGCTGGCTATTAAGCGATAAAGATTATCTAGTTTGAGTGATATATACAAGTATGTTCGTTAAAATATCTTAATGGAAGCGATATCGAATATTCATTACTCTATAAAAGCTTTTTCCTTAAATCTGCTTCACATTCAACTAATTATTTAGTGAAACAATAAAATTTTTCTAACTACCACTTCTTCACAATATAATATATATTTTTATTTATTTGTTTATTGAAAAATGTTTTGTTTATACCCCAAAATAAGGCCAAACAAAAGGCAAACAAAATGCTAATAAGCATTGTCTTCCAGTCAACACTGGGAGTAGAGAAAATTTGACGTAGGTGCAAAACCAAATCCAAAACTAAATTTTAAAAAGTGATATATTTATTATGATTATATAACAAGATACATTAATTTTACCCGTCCCATTTATAGAGAAATATACAATTTAACCAACTAATAACATAAATCTAAAAACATGACATAAATGAAATCATTAAAAGTAATCTTAATTATTATTTTAACGATTACTTCACTATTTGTATGATAGGCTCTATCAATCGCTTACTCTATACGCAGCGTAACTTAATCCGCCTACGCAAGGCTGGCAACCCTTACAAGGTCACTGGCAGGATCCTGACATTAGATCTCTTAGCAGTGCAACATAGTAGTAGATTGCATTATTCCTCATAATTCCTGTTCTAAAGCAACATTTATGTAGAGTACCAGATACTGTACTACCAAATACCTGTAGCTACTATTCATAAATGCAAAAGGTACACCTTTATAGTTACATGGATGAAGGTCTGTTACACCTACTAGGAATAACTAATTTTGTCAAGCACGAAACGCATTATGCCAGGTCCTGTGACCGTTGAAAATTTACATAACGTATCACATAATCCGGACTGAAGCAAATCATTATAAAGGCATCAAGGTCACAATTCTCATTAGTGATGATTTTATCACAGTGAATCTTTAGATGTCGATAAAATCTCCCGATCCGTTTTTTTCTTATTTCAATCCGGTGCCACGTAAATTACGATGAGTTTATAAGTTACCTTTTAAAATTTATGGATTTAATTGTGGTCAATGAGGTAGTACATTTCCTCTGATAACACGGACGGAGGGTGTTTGATATCTAAAAAAATGGTAAAATTCTTGATTTTAGGTTAAGTAAGGTCTTCATGGAAGAGTAGTAATTCAGAATTCACTATGCCTCTAATTCAATATGCTATACCTTACTATAACTGGGTGTATGCGCACTGGTAAACCGGACTGTATCTCCTGCAGCGTGTGCGCGCGTTCACGACGTCGCTGGAGGAGCTGGCGGCGAGGGTGCAGGCGGCGGAGGCGGCGCGCGCCACCTGGCGAGCGCCCGGCGACGCCAGGGACGCCCGCGCCCAGCTGGACGCGGTGTCCCGTGCCCGGGCCCAGCTGCCCCCCCTGCGCCGCCTGGCGGACGAGCTGCGCGCCCAAGCCCAGCAGCTGGCTAGGGACAATGTCCAGCTGCCGGAACACCTGCGCGCGCGCCTCGACGACCTGAACGCTAGGTAAGCCTACGAGGATCTAGACTAAATGCCTAGGGCTAACTGCCTGTAACCAGTTTCCTGTATTCGTGTATGTCCTATTCTATTCTAATTGGACACTGGATAAGAGTGCCGCTTTTGGAACAACAAGCACCTCCGGTCATGTATGGACTGAACCGAGAGTCGACCATCACTACATACTATAAAACAAAGTCGTCTCGCTGTCTGTCTGTCCTTATAAATATATGCTTAGATCTTTAAAACTACGAAACGGATTTTGATGCGGTTTTCTTTAATAGATAGAGTGATTCAAAAGGAAGGTTTATATTATGTATAATTCATGCATGCATTTTAGAGGTTTCTGATGCGATGTCGAAAACAAACATTCAGCATTGCACCCGCGCGAAGCCGTGGCGGGTCGCTAGTCGTTTCTAATCTTGTGAAATGGGTAACACCAACCAGTACGTCAACAAAGTTAGTTGCTCGCGCGTTTGAACGATCTGATCGCGACGTTGGAATTGTCCTGAAGGGAATTGGTACAGTACAAACTACATATCCAGCGATAGCGTGTTGTATTAACGGTAGCTTTGTAAAGGTAGGGTAGACCATAAGGCTAGACCGTAAGATAACTGACGCTCTTGTTTGTATAGCAGAAAAAAGTAAAGTATAGTTAACAATAAATAATACGGATTAAGAAGAACTAGCTACTTTTCTTTGAGAATTTGGTGGACGAAATAAAAGCATTTAAACTATTGATGATTCTATAATAATTTGTGCCATTTTTTAAATGAAACTCCATTTATATCAACGGATTTGGTCGTGTTTAATTTTGCATTTAAGTCACCTGACGTTTAGAATACTTCACGACATCCACGATCAGTTGTTTTATGTGCTAATGACTTAGCTAATACGTGCTATCAGTTTTTTAAATTATCTTCTTCTTCTATTATATCTTCTCTTCTTTCTATTATATAAAGAGGAAAGATTTGATTGTTTGTATGTATCGAATAGGCTCCCAAACTACTTAACCGATTTGAAAAATTCTTTCACTGTTGAGAAGCTACATTATCCCTGCTTGACCTAAAATATTCTTTACATCGCGTGCGCTGCGAAAACTATTGATGATAGAATAAAGTAATGTACTATGACTTTGCAGACCACATCATTATTTACAAAAAGTGTCGCGACAGCTTATGTCTAACTATTATAGTTATGCCACAATAAGTGTTCGTTTATTTTAAAATTTTGATTGAAATGCCGCCGCTAACAAAGGCTGTTTATTTTTATCTCGGTATTAATCCTTATAAAAATAAATTACTTCTTATTTAAGACTATTTCAATATCTTTATAAAACTTTGTTTAATTATTAAATTCGGACATTCCATTCCTTAGATATTGCAAGTTTAAAAATGTTAGTATATTGTAATTTAACTATCCAAACAGCTTAGTGACTGACTTAGTAATTCTTATAAGTTTTCAATCACATTTATACTGGTAATTCCTGTTCAACAGTTAGCAGATTATTAAATACTGAGGAAGTTTAATTTTTTTTATCATTTTAAAATGCCCAAAAGATCAAGATCTCATCTTTCTAGAAATAGTTCCCAGGCGAGGACATTAAAAATACGTCATAATGAGGAATCTTTACCGGAAACTGAGTATCGTCTTACAAGTCGGAGAGATTCAAATAGTGTATGCAGTGGCTTGAAGAGTATAATAATATAAATATACAAATTCACACTAGGGAATCGAGCGTTCCCAACGTATACGAGATTAGAGAGAAAGATAACAATCGTCGACGACTAGACGTATTCGAGTTTTAGCTCACAGTAAGAGATCAGCTTTCATGCATTTTGCTCAACAGTCTTCCGTCCAAATTGTACCCACGAATAAGATCTGCTCTAAGTGTTCTGCCAAAAATGGGTCGATGAACCAAATGGTATGTGCTGTGCTTCTGGAGTTAGTCCCCCCAATATTGAGGAGCCGCCACAACCAATAAAAAATCTTTTTACAAATAATCATTCACCATCAGGATATTTTTAACCAACATCCTAAAGTACAATAGCCTTACAATAGTCTTTCAAATGACTTCGTTTGACGCGAACTTTTAAAATAGAGGGACAAGTATACAAGTTATTATCATCCTCCTGCCCCTATCCCACCTAGGTGGGGTCGGCACGACATGAATCATGTTGTAAGTGGTTTTGCCTATATTTTTACAACCAGCCGCCTGCTTGACGTCAACCCTCCATGGGAAACAAATACCCAGAATAAATTTCAACTGTGTCACTATCATGGTTCATGAGATACAGCCTGTTGACAAAGGGACAAACAGACAGCGGAGTCTTAGTAATAGGGTCCCGTTTTACCCTTTGGGTACAGCATCCTAAAAAGGCTCCAGAGATATAGTGTTGCACGGTAGACACGGCCAACTTAAAAGGGTCTCTGAGTTACACCGATTGTATAATCGACAAATAGAGAAGACGGTTAATATTTGACTATTCCTCAGCAAGGTACCGTGCGTAACAAAACTATGACATGCTTGCAATTGTTTGCATTTAGGTTAATGGTTAAAGCTTCCTGTTTTAAGCCATTGTATTATTACTGGGACTTATCAGGGTTCCGTACCCAAAGGGCACCCTATTACTAAGAGTCCGATGTCCGTCTGTATGTCCGTATGTCTGTCCATATGTCACCAGGCTGTCTCATGAATCGTGATAGTTAGACAGTTGAAATTTTCACAAACGATGAATTTCTGTTGCCGCTATAACAAAAAATACGAAAAAACAAAAAAAATATAAATAAGTGGGGCTCCCATAAAACAGACATAATTTTTTGGCCGTTTTTATAGATAATGTTGACATTAGTAGTGTTTTTGACAATATGTAAGTGTAATACTTCTATTTTGAATAAAGATAATAAAGCATGATTTTTTTTTATGTGATAGAGTGGCAAAAGCGCTGGCGGTTCTCCTGATGTTAAGTAATAACCGCCGCCCATGGACATTTGTAACACCTGTAGGGTTGCAAATGAGTTGCCATCTTTAAGACATTGGCTCATCAAATATCGGTCAACAAACCAAAGATGGGATGATTTATGTCCGAAGGTATGGGAGACCAGACTTATTTGTCACTTTTACGTGTAACCCCGAATGTCCCGTAATTAAAGCAAAACCATTATCTGGTCAGCGGTCTTTCGATATTCATGATGTAATTTCAAGGGTATTTCATTAAAAGGTGCAGAAATTCATAAAATTATTCACCAAAGACGAAATATTCGGAATATTTTATGTATATGATAATTTTTAGTTTTAAAAATTTTGTTAAATACCCGTGCGAAGCCGGGGCGGGCCGCTAGTTATTAATATTTGTCTGAGGTTTTCCAAGTTTCGATATTGAATCCTCAATTAATCGTGGCGTGGCTTTGGTCTTGTATCTTCAACACAAAGGTCTTTGCTTGGCGGTAGTACGTATAGATGTATGTACTACCGTTAATACCTCACTCGCCTATAGTGATTAGAATAGTTATAGACTGCCACTTTACAATGGAAGCCTGTGTATGTACTATCGGTGTCTCTGACGTGCTCCGTTTGCCGGGGCCTTGGCACACGCCAGCCTTACACAACACGGCCTGAATACCTAGAGAAATGTCAAACGGATGCCATCTCGCCTAAGTCATTTAGATCAATAATGTCACTGTCACGATGAATACAACGATTGAGTATTTGGCAATTCATGTGAACTTTTATTTGCTCCCTGCCCGAGTGGTGAGGAAACGCTTGTCTATTAAATTCCATATCCAATTACACTTGCACGTAACAATAAGTCTTGTATCCCAGAGCTAACCTAGCTCATCTTTATGCTACGTAACGGTTCGTTCTTCTTTACTGTATCTTTTTGTAGTGTATATTGAAAATATATTTGAATTTTAATTGAGGACTCTTATCTTTGTAACAATGAACGTGGAAAAAATTGTGGGTAGGCAGCGTTGAGTGGGACTTTCGCGAAACACGGGGGTACCCACTTAACAACCCAACGCGAAATCGTAAACGTAATCTTCCGCGAACCCCGGGGCGACTGTGGACTTCTCAGGTCTCCTCCCCCCAGTTAGAACATACGGTCCAGTCACATGGTGTCGTCGGTGCAATGGACACCAAATCCTTTTACTTTACGCCGGTCGATCGTGTAGAACTACAATCGCATCGCTGCCACCAGGGTTTCGGCTCTGAGCGCCGGCGGGGAGGAGCGGGCGCGCCAGCTAGCAGGCGTGGCCAGGGATGGGGGAGCTGGTGCCGCGCAGGGCTTCCTGGCTGGCTCCGTCAGGGCACCCTGGGAGCGTGCAGTCACGCCTGCCAACGTCCCTTACTACATCAAGTGAGTTGACACCAAGCTGCTGATTTTGATATTACGTTTTAGACCGCTAGCCTTGATTACTAAATTTTTTAGCCTTAAATACTTTTCTATTTGAAAAAATTGCTTAAGTAAATTATAGTTTATAACATTTTCGCACATCAAAGTTTTTGAAAAAAATCATGCCTTCGACTTATTGTTGTGTGTATAAGAGGGCTATTATAGAGATCGAGATTTTCTTTTTTGGCTAGAAGGTTAAGTATAACTGTTTAACGTGGACATGCAGCTAGCCTTCTTGCCACCGTACCACGTATGCTAGGCTTGTTAGCTCACGTGTTTACTGTCGTATTTATGTTTGTGTGAATTGTAATACTATCGTTACGCCCCCACAGCCACGAATTGGAAACCACACACTGGGATCACCCGAAGATGATCGAGCTGATGAACTCACTCGCCGACCTCAACGAAGTCCGCTTCTCGGCATACAGGACGGCCCTGAAGCTGAGGACCGTGCAGAAAGCGCTGTGCAGTAAGTGGACTTGAGAGAAATCGCCATGCATTTGATAGGTTTCGCTGAGTTTCTTTCGCCGGTTCTTCTCAGTGGCTTTCTTTTCCGAACCGGTGGTAGTATTTTGACTATCAATAAGCGAGTGTAATACTCCTATGTTGAATAAAGACATTTGATTTTGATTTTAAGTAGACAGTATATCTTAATAATAACATACCGTGCAGTAAATCTCTTTCATTCGAAACTTTCAAATTTCTTATTATTTAGTTATTTGAGCACCTACTTCAATTTCTTAGGTTGGAGAATCAGAAAATGCCTTCAGCATTAAGTCCATAGTTTTTTGTCCATAAAGTTTTAAATAAATAAACCACAAAACAGTTTCATTTCGTTTAACAATTTCTAAGCGAGTTTTTAGACAAACCATTACAAGTTTTGCAAAACACATTGCAAGCGAGCGGTCATTCACGTGATGTTAAGTGATTATTGGCTTCGACGGATATTCACCGATCATCATGTTTTAGTTGCTTTGCCAAAGTATAATAACTTCCGGTAATATCTCCAGGAGAATAGCAAAAGCATAAATATTACCAAGCCGGTCTACTGTATTATTCCAACTGAGCCGTACCGTTCTACCCAACCCAGAAGCTTTTGTGCGACTTCTATTATATTAAATTCCAAAGAAAAAAAACAGAATCGAACTCGGAGATGATGCAATAAGTTCTAAAACACACCGTGTTACATAACATCAATACATTCAAGTTGTTTATAGCTTAAAGGTCTTGATTAGCGCTGAAAATCACTCTAATTTGTCAATCGATCATTAGAGCTGACTGCTGTTGCTTGTGTTTTCAGCGCAGATATCACTCAGAATTGGGAAGTGTCCAGCGTTTGTACTGTGTCTTCTGTTTTCAGTGCACATGCTACAACTGCCAGCCGCTCTGGAGGCTTTCGACTCCCACGGCCTTCGAGCACAGAACGACCGCCTCATAGACATTCCAGACATGATCACAGTGCTCACATCTCTGTACGAAGTGAGTGACGAATTGATCTCAAGCAAACTCCGATTTATTTATGCTTAGAGTGCCCTATTGATGGCTGTTTGACGTTTAAGGGAATTTACTGCAACAAACTTCACTCACTTCACAACGTCGATGACAGTACAAGATCGTCCAATATCACCAGTCTCACAAATGTATAGACATAATGACCATTAGAAGTTTTAATGGTCAATAATGTGGTTGTGTTACTGTGTTAAAAGTCAATCGAACCCACGTCCCTCGGGGCCGAAGACGATACTTTGAAAACTGCGCCATGGACTCATAAAATCGGTGCAATAAACTAAATAAATAAATTGTAACAGTAAAGAATATAATGTTAAGTATTAACAAACGACGTCCCCATTGGCGTGGGGAGTAGTGAATCCGCCTCTTGCGTCAGAGGGTGTGGGTTCGATCTGAAGTGGGATCTACTGGAAACATGTTGTGTGATGAACATAGTGTTTTTTTCAGTGTCTGGGTGTTTATATATGTATAGTTCTTATTTGCAAAAGAAAAGTAAAAGTGTTGATTAGTTTTCTAGTAGCCATAGTACAAGCAAAACGAAAGCTGGTGCGTCCCGTGCGGTAAAATGTTAATCTCATTGGTATTGGATCTTGGGCTCCGACGATACGAGTACTTAGGGAGCTCCTGAAAATCAATTATAAAATGAATACGGAGCGAGATGTTTTGAAGTCGCTTGTGTTTTCGGCAGGTGATCGCGGCCGAGAACCCGAGCCTGGTGAACGTGCCGCTCTGCCTGGACCTGTCCGTCAACTGGCTGCTGAACGTGTACGACAGCCAGCGCACCGGCCAGATCCGCGTGCTCAGCTTCAAGGTCGGCCTGGTGCTGCTCTGCAAGGGCCACCTGGAGGAGAAGTACAGGTGAGCTGCGACGACACCGGCCTAGCTCGCACCACACTTCTGTACCTCAGCGGTTAACCAACCGTTTAAAAACCCTGACATACGGAATTGTTCCGGAACAGGTTCAGCTTTCCTTGAACTTAAGAGCACTAGGAGTTTAAATAAGCGCTTAATAAATATAAGCTTAAGTGAAGCGTACAAATCGTAACCACTCGTATATAAATCGTATATCGTAAACACTTGTGTAATTTCATAACACTGAAACTAAAATCACACACCCAATGGCGTTCAGTTGCCAAACTACTGGCATCGGTGTCGGGGTCGTGGTTTCGATTCCCACACGGAACAAGTATTGGTATATCCCACAGATAACTAATCCAATTAGTTAAACAAGGATACACTGCTGCTAGGAGCCATCTCTCGCTCGTTTTTTATGTTTATTTATTTTAACACGAAAAAATGCTCTACGTCAAAGGCACAGAGTATAAATTTGGTTATTTATAAAACAAACGGTGCACAATCGTATTGGATATAAGGTCATCGGTGTATTTTCAAGAAGAAAGTTGAAGTCAGGGCCTAAAGGACCTAGTTAATGCCATTAATAATATGATTCCACCTAATGGGAAAAGAAGAAGAGAAAGAAGAAGAAGAAGATACTAAAAGCCGTATATCTTGATCTTCCAGATACTTATTCCGGCTGATCGCGGACCCGTCTTGCCGAGCAGACCAAAGGAAGCTAGGTCTACTACTGCATGATTGCATACAGGTGATTTAACCATATTTCATAGTTTAATATAGCATGTGTTCTACTTCGTTAGGAAATAATAATATAGCATATAATTATCTTCTATTTCATGAAAGCAATAGATAGTTTGCCGCTTCAAAAGGATCTAAATTTTTTTATTATAAAAAGTCAAATCAAATCAAAATTCTTTATTTTCTTGTAAGTAGATACAGAAATATTTTTTTCTCGGTGTCGTTACAATGCCTAACATATTTAGCAGCTCTTAACAGCATCCAAAAGATATTTACAATACAATTTATTCTAAATATTTTTTACAAATAACTAAAATTTTCCTTTAAAATGCAGTTTTTTTATAAATATATCAATTAACTAATAATCAATTTATAACTATTAAAAAAAATGGTCACTGTAATTTAAAAACTCGTCTATTTTCTCTAACAGCCTACGTCGTAATGAAATTTTAAAGTTGCTTTATAAATAAATATTTATAAGTTTCACATACCGTAGGAAACTGTTTTTAAAATAAGCCCGATAATTTGTTTGCGAACAATGTATCGGGCCAAAGCAGAATTTTTAATTTATATTTTTTTATGTATATTATTGTATATACAGGGAGATTTTTTTAAAGGTGCCCAAATTTACACAGGAGGTTCAGACTCGGTAGTATAATCGTTTATTGAAATAAAAACGGGCTTTTTTTTCAAAAAAATTACCATTCTATTCCCTAAAAAACAGAACTTGTTGACAATGCGGTAGTCATTCATAAATACCTAAATTTTACTGCTCACGCACACAAACGAACTTGTGTGCGTGTTAGTTATGAATGAACGCGCGTAAAATAAACGAGTTATCATTTTTATAAAACATTATTTATGTCTAGAATTTAATAACAAAAATGGCTACACTTAGAAAAGCCTCCCTGTATATTTTTTGTTAGAGCAACAGTTTAATGGACATTTGAAACATACAGCTTACCGAACGTTGGAAACATTTTCGACACAGGTCCCCAGGCAGCTGGGCGAGGTGGCCGCTTTCGGGGGGTCGAACATCGAGCCGTCGGTGAGGAGTTGCTTCGAGCAGGCGTCTGCCACCGCCAAGGAGGGTGGCAAAGGTGGCACCTTGGACAGGAAGTCGGGTAACTACAGTCTGTTGAATATGGGTTGCTTCGAGCAGGCGGCTGCCACCGCCAAGGAGGGTGGCAAAGGTGGCACCTTGGACAGGAAGTCGGGTAACTACAGTCTGTTGAATATGGGTTGCTTCGAGCAGGCGGCTGCCACCGCCAAGGAGGGTGGCAAAGGTGGCACCTTGGACAGGAAGTCGGGTATCTGTTGAATATGGGTTGCTTCGAGCAGGCGTCTGCCACCGCCAAGGAGGGTGGCAAAGGTGGCACCTTGGACAGGAAGTCGGGTAACTACAGTCTGTTGAATATGGGTTGCTTCGAGCAGGCGGCTGCCACCGCCAAGGAGGGTGGCAAAGGTGGCACCTTGGACAGGAAGTCGGGTAACTACAGTCTGTTGAATATGGGTTGCTTCGAGCAGGCGTCTGCCACCGCCAAGGAGGGTGGCAAAGGTGGCACCTTGGACAGGAAGTCGGGGGTAACTACAGTCTGTTGAATATGGGTTGCTTCGAGCAGGCGTCTGCCACCGCCAAGGAGGGTGGCAAAAGGTGGCACCTTGGACAGGAAGTCGGGTAACTACAGTCTGTTGAATATGGGTGCTTCGAGCAGGCGTCTGCCACCGCCAAGGAGGGTGGCAAAGGTGGCACCTTGGACAGGAAGTCGGGTAACTACAGTCTGTTGAATATGGGTTGCTTCGAGCAGGCGTCTGCCACCGCCAAGGAGGGTGGCAAAGGTGGCACCTTGGACAGGAAGTCGGGTAACTACAGTCTGTTGAATATGGGTTGCTTCGAGCAGGCGTCTGCCACCGCCAAGGAGGGTGGCAAAGGTGGCACCTTGGACAGGAAGTCGGGTAACTACAGTCTGTTGAATATGGGTTGCTTCGAGCAGGCGTCTGCCACCGCCAAGGAGGGTGGCAAAGGTGGCACCTTGGACAGGAAGTCGGGTAACTACAGTCTGTTGAATATGGGTTGCTTCGAGCAGGCGTCTGCCACCGCCAAGGAGGGTGGCAAAGGTGGCACACCTTGGACAGGAAGTCGGGTGGTAACTACAGTCTGTTGAATATGGGTTGCTTCGAGCAGGCGTCTGCCACCGCCAAGGAGGGTGGCAAAGGTGGCACCTTGGACAGGAAGTCGGGTAACTACAGTCTGTTGAATATGGGTTGCTTCGAGCAGGCGTCTGCCACCGCCAAGGAGGGTGGCAAAGGTGGCACCTTGGACAGGAAGTCGGGTAACTACAGTCTGTTGAATATGGGTTGCTTCGAGCAGGCGTCTGCCACCGCCAAGGAGGGTGGCAAAGGTGGCACCTTGGACAGGAAGTCGGGTAACTACAGTCTGTTGAATATGGGTTGCTTCGAGCAGGCGTCTGCCACCGCCAAGGAGGGTGGCAAAGGTGGCACCTTGGACAGGAAGTCGGGTAACTACAGTCTGTTGAATATGGGTTGCTTCGAGCAGGCGTCTGCCACCGCCAAGGAGGGTGGCAAAGGTGGCACCTTGGACAGGAAGTCGGGTAACTACAGTCTGTTGAATATGGGTTGCTTCGAGCAGGCGTCTGCCACCGCCAAGGAGGGTGGCAAAGGTGGCACCTTGGACAGGAAGTCGGGTAACTACAGTCTGTTGAATATGGGTTGCTTCGAGCAGGCGTCTGCCACCGCCAAGGAGGGTGGCAAAGGTGGCACCTTGGACAGGACAGGGTAAGTTTTCGCGGGGTAAACTACAGTCTGTTGAATATGGGTTGCTTCGAGCAGGCGTCTGCCACCGCCAAGGAGGGTGGCAAAGGTGGCACCTTGGACAGGAAGTCGGGTAACTACAGTCTGTTGAATATGGGTTTGCTTCGAGCAGGCGTCTGCCACCGCCAAGGAGGGTGGCAAAGGTGGCACCTTGGACAGGAAGTCGGGTAACTACAGTCTGTTGAATATGGGTTGCTTCGAGCAGGCGTCTGCCACCGCCAAGGAGGGTGGCAAAGGTGGCACCTTGGACAGGAAGTCGGGTAACTACAGTCTGTTGAATATGGGTTGCTTCGAGCAGGCGTCTGCCACCGCCAAGGAGGGTGGCAAAGGTGGCACCTTGGACAGGAAGTCGGGTAACTACAGTCTGTTGAATATGGGTTGCTTCGAGCAGGCGTCTGCCACCGCCAAGGAGGGTGGCAAAGGTGGCACCTTGGACAGGAAGTCGGGTAACTACAGTCTGTTGAATATGGGTTGCTTCGAGCAGGCGTCTGCCACCGCCAAGGAGGGTGGCAAAGGTGGCACCTTGGACAGGAAGTCGGGTAACTACAGTCTGTTGAATATGGGTTGCTTCGAGCAGGCGTCTGCCACCGCCAAGGAGGGTGGCAAAGGTGGCACCTTGGACAGGAAGTCGGGTAACTACAGTCTGTTGAATATGGGTTGCTTCGAGCAGGCGTCTGCCACCGCCAAGGAGGGTGGCAAAGGTGGCACCTTGGACAGGAAGTCGGGTAACTACAGTCTGTTGAATATGGGTTGCTTCGAGCAGGCGTCTGCCACCGCCAAGGAGGGTGGCAAAGGTGGCACCTTGGACAGGAAGTCGGGTAACTACAGTCTGTTGAATATGGGTTGCTTCGAGCAGGCGTCTGCCACCGCCAAGGAGGGTGGCAAAGGTGGCACCTTGGACAGGAAGTCGGGTAACTACAGTCTGTTGAATATGGGTTGCTTCGAGCAGGCGTCTGCCACCGCCAAGGAGGGTGGCAAAGGTGGCACCTTGGACAGGAAGTCGGGTAAACACAGTCTGTTGAATATGGGTTGCTTCGAGCAGGCGTCTGCCACCGCCAAGGAGGGTGGCAAAGGTGGCACCTTGGACAGGAAGTCGGGTAACTACAGTCTGTTGAATATGGGTTGCTTCGAGCAGGCGTCTGCCACCGCCAAGGAGGGTGGCAAAGGTGGCACCTTGGACAGGAAGTCGGGTAACTACAGTCTGTTGAATATGGGTTGCTTCGAGCAGGCGTCTGCCACCGCCAAGGAGGGTGGCAAAGGTGGCACCTTGGACAGGAAGTCGGGTAACTACAGTCTGTTGAATATGGGTTGCTTCGAGCAGGCGTCTGCCACCGCCAAGGAGGGTGGCAAAGGTGGCACCTTGGACAGGAAGTCGGGTAACTACAGTCTGTTGAATATGGGTTGCTTCGAGCAGGCGTCTGCCACCGCCAAGGAGGGTGGCAAAGGTGGCACCTTGGACAGGAAGTCGGGTAACTACAGTCTGTTGAATATGGGTTGCTTCGAGCAGGCGGCTGCCACCGCCAAGGAGGGTGGCAAAGGTGGCACCTTGGACAGGAAGTCGGGTAACTACAGTCTGTTTGAATATGGGTTGCTTCGAGCAGGCGTCTGCCACCGCCAAGGAGGGTGGCAAAGGTGGCACCTTGGACAGGAAGTCGGGTAACTACAGTCTGTTGAATATGGGTTGCTTCGAGCAGGCGTCTGCCACCGCCAAGGAGGGTGGCAAAGGTGGCACCTTGGACAGGAAGTCGGGTAACTACAGTCTGTTGAATATGGGTTGCTTCGAGCAGGCGTCTGCCACCGCCAAGGAGGGTGGCAAAGGTGGCACCTTGGACAGGAAGTCGGGTAACTACAGTCTGTTGAATATGGGTTGCTTCGAGCAGGCGTCTGCCACCGCCAAGGAGGGTGGCAAAGGTGGCACCTTGGACAGGAAGTCGGGTAACTACAGTCTGTTGAATATGGGTTGCTTCGAGCAGGCGTCTGCCACCGCCAAGGAGGGTGGCAAAGGTGGCACCTTGGACAGGAAGTCGGGTAACTACAGTCTGTTGAATATGGGTTGCTTCGAGCAGGCGTCTGCCACCGCCAAGGAGGGTGGCAAAGGTGGCACCTTGGACAGGAAGTCGGGTAACTACAGTCTGTTGAATATGGGTTGCTTCGAGCAGGCGTCTGCCACCGCCAAGGAGGGTGGCAAAGGTGGCACCTTGGACAGGAAGTCGGGTAACTACAGTCTGTTGAATATGGGTTGCTTCGAGCAGGCGTCTGCCACCGCCAAGGAGGGTGGCAAAGGTGGCACCTTGGACAGGAAGTCGGGTAACTACAGTCTGTTGAATATGGGTTGCTTCGAGCAGGCGTCTGCCACCGCCAAGGAGGGTGGCAAAGGTGGCACCTTGGACAGGAAGTCGGGTAACTACAGTCTGTTGAATATGGGTTGCTTCGAGCAGGCGTCTGCCACCGCCAAGGAGGGTGGCAAAGGTGGCACCTTGGACAGGAAGTCGGGTAACTACAGTCTGTTGAATATGGGTTGCTTCGAGCAGGCGTCTGCCACCGCCAAGGAGGGTGGCAAAGGTGGCACCTTGGACAGGAAGTCGGGTAACTACAGTCTGTTGAATATGGGTTGCTTCGAGCAGGCGTCTGCCACCGCCAAGGAGGGTGGCAAAGGTGGCACCTTGGACAGGAAGTCGGGTAACTACAGTCTGTTGAATATGGGTTGCTTCGAGCAGGCGTCTGCCACCGCCAAGGAGGGTGGCAAAGGTGGCACCTTGGACAGGAAGTCGGGTAACTACAGTCTGTTGAATATGGGTTGCTTCGAGCAGGCGTCTGCCACCGCCAAGGAGGGTGGCAAAGGTGGCACCTTGGACAGGAAGTCGGGTAACTACAGTCTGTTGAATATGGGTTGCTTCGAGCAGGCGTCTGCCACCGCCAAGGAGGGTGGCAAAGGTGGCACCTTGGACAGGAAGTCGGGTAACTACAGTCTGTTGAATATGGGTTGCTTCGAGCAGGCGTCTGCCACCGCCAAGGAGGGTGGCAAAGGTGGCACCTTGGACAGGAAGTCGGGTAACTACAGTCTGTTGAATATGGGTTGCTTCGAGCAGGCGGCTGCCACCGCCAAGGAGGGTGGCAAAGGTGGCACCTTGGACAGGAAGTCGGGTAACTACAGTCTGTTGAATATGGGTTGCTTCGAGCAGGCGTCTGCCACCGCCAAGGAGGGTGGCAAAGGTGGCACCTTGGACAGGAAGTCGGGTAACTACAGTCTGTTGAATATGGGTTGCTTCGAGCAGGCGTCTGCCACCGCCAAGGAGGGTGGCAAAGGTGGCACCTTGGACAGGAAGTCGGGTAACTACAGTCTGTTGAATATGGGTTGCTTCGAGCAGGCGTCTGCCACCGCCAAGGAGGGTGGCAAAGGTGGCACCTTGGACAGGAAGTCGGGTAACTACAGTCTGTTGAATATGGGTTGCTTCGAGCAGGCGTCTGCCACCGCCAAGGAGGGTGGCAAAGGTGGCACCTTGGACAGGAAGTCGGGTAACTACAGTCTGTTGAATATGGGTTGCTTCGAGCAGGCGTCTGCCACCGCCAAGGAGGGTGGCAAAGGTGGCACCTTGGACAGGAAGTCGGGTAACTACAGTCTGTTGAATATGGGTTGCTTCGAGCAGGCGTCTGCCACCGCCAAGGAGGGTGGCAAAGGTGGCACCTTGGACAGGAAGTCGGGTAACTACAGTCTGTTGAATATGGGTTGCTTCGAGGCGTCTGCCACCGCCAAGGAGGGTGGCAAAGGTGGCACCTTGGACAGGAAGTCGGGTAACTACAGTCTGTTGAATATGGGTTGCTTCGAGCAGGCGTCTGCCACCGCCAAGGAGGGTGGCAAAGGTGGCACCTTGGACAGGAAGTCGGGTAACTACAGTCTGTTGAATATGGGTTGCTTCGAGCAGGCGTCTGCCACCGCCAAGGAGGGTGGCAAAGGTGGCACCTTGGACAGGAAGTCGGGTAACTACAGTCTGTTGAATATGGGTTGCTTCGAGCAGGCGTCTGCCACCGCCAAGGAGGGTGGCAAAGGTGGCACCTTGGACAGGAAGTCGGGTAACTACAGTCTGTTGAATATGGGTTGCTTCGAGCAGGCGTCTGCCACCGCCAAGGAGGGTGGCAAAGGTGGCACCTTGGACAGGAAGTCGGGTAACTACAGTCTGTTGAATATGGGTTGCTTCGAGCAGGCGGCTGCCACCGCCAAGGAGGGTGGCAAAGGTGGCACCTTGGACAGGAAGTCGGGTAACTACAGTCTGTTGAATATGGGTTGCTTCGAGCAGGCGGCTGCCACCGCCAAGGAGGGTGGCAAAGGTGGCACCTTGGACAGGAAGTCGGGTAACTACAGTCTGTTGAATATGGGTTGCTTCGAGCAGGCGTCTGCCACCGCCAAGGAGGGTGGCAAAGGTGGCACCTTGGACAGGAAGTCGGGTAACTACAGTCTGTTGAATATGGGTTGCTTCGAGCAGGCGTCTGCCACCGCCAAGGAGGGTGGCAAAGGTGGCACCTTGGACAGGAAGTCGGGTAACTACAGTCTGTTGAATATGGGTTGCTTCGAGCAGGCGTCTGCCACCGCCAAGGAGGGTGGCAAAGGTGGCACCTTGGACAGGAAGTCGGGTAACTACAGTCTGTTGAATATGGGTTGCTTCGAGCAGGCGGCTGCCACCGCCAAGGAGGGTGGCAAAGGTGGCACCTTGGACAGGAAGTCGGGTAACTACAGTCTGTTGAATATGGGTTGCTTCGAGCAGGCGTCTGCCACCGCCAAGGAGGGTGGCAAAGGTGGCACCTTGGACAGGAAGTCGGGTAACTACAGTCTGTTGAATATGGGTTGCTTCGAGCAGGCGTCTGCCACCGCCAAGGAGGGTGGCAAAGGTGGCACCTTGGACAGGAAGTCGGGTAACTACAGTCTGTTGAATATACGTTGATTGGGACGTTGACATTCGCACACAAATATCAAGTTCCGTATTTTTAAAACAAAAAATTTACTTTATTTCGTAATGCCACTATAGTTTAAGTATATTTTTTATTCTATGTGATTAAGTGGCGAACGATCTGGAGGTACAACTGATATAGTGACAGCCGTCGCCCGTTTAATAAAGTGGGCCCCGGCTACCTCACTCACCAGACGAAACGCAGAAGTACAACACTTCACCTTTGCCGGTCTTCTGTGAGGTCGTGGTACTTCCCCGCCCATTCGTGCGACAGCGAACAGTTAGTTTACAATCACCGAACGCTACGCAGTTCCAGAGAAGGAGAAGGAGAAGGAGAAGGAGAGGGAGAGGGAGAAGGAGGAGAGCAAGGAGAGGAGCGTGGAGCGCGACGCGGAGGGGCAGCTGCAGCACATCGAGGCGTTCCACTTCCTGCAGTGGCTGCAGAAGGAGCCGCAGTCGATGGTGTGGCTGCCGGTGTTGCAGCGGCTGGCGGCGGCGGAGGGCGCGCGCCACCAGGCCAAGTGCAACATCTGCAAGGACTACCCCATCCTCGGCTTCAGGTGCGCGCCGCACTTCTCTTTTCGGGACACATTGTTACGCACATTTAGTCGCAAACTGAGCAACGCTCGCACTGAGCACTAGCTATGCCCGGTGCGCTCCGCTTCACCTAGAGACATCTAACCCTATAAGACCTATATAAGACCTACAGTTCAGAAGATAAAAATCATTACGAACAGCTCCACCTATCCGGCACAAACTATGTTCATAGAAATTGTCACGTCGCCATTTGTATGCGTGCCAAGTTTCACATCAATTCGGCTAACGGTTCCCGAGTATTAGGTAAACATATTCGTATATACACGACATTCTCTTTTATATATAAAATATCACACCCGACAGACGTTGTCTAGTAAACACGACTGCCATCCAAAAACAAATTATAAATAAAAACAAAAAAAAATGTCGGCCGAATTGTGAATCAAAACCATTCTCGAATCGACCTTGTAGCAATATAAGGTACAAGTAAAACGGCGTCTATGTTACGTCTGTTTATTTTACACATACATTTGTACTTCGTAATTGTACACATTATCTTAGGAGGGTAGATTATCTTTATTTCCGTTAAGACTTTGATATTATTTCCTAAGACTACCTACAACATCTCCCTTTCTTCAAAGTTCAAGTAACATTATAATCACTTGTACAATGTTTACCAAATTTTGAATAATAATTATAATTAATACATTAATCAATTAATCACACTATCCTTATTCTCCCTAATGAACAATGATAAAAAGTATTCTGTTTTAGTTTGGAATATATGTTATGATATAAATTATTATATAATATTATACACCAAACTATGTAGCTATCATTTCATCGTTTAAACAAAGTATAAGTAAATTAATTAAATTTCATTAACGATTTCTAATTTCATACAAATATCAAATTAAATTAACCGATCTTATTAGTTATAAATTATTGACGCAAATAACGTTTACATATTGATAGATTATATTGTATCTAATAATAATAACCAAATACATAATATAAACCTATCCTAACTATCCTATTAGAAAGGCTATAATTAAGAATAACATAGGTATACGAATAAACACAATCTAACAACAACAATTACAATATTAATAATTAGGCAAAATATTAAACCTCCTAAAACAAATAACTACTAGCTTTTTTTTTATTTTTTTTTATGTAACAATTAATTTTAACTTTAATTAACCACCTCGAAGCGATCTGGCTGACGAACAACTCTCCCGCTTCGAGCGTCTACGCATCCCCGCTTATCGTGTCTGTGTTTTCAAAATAATTCCAATCAATCTTTGAGTTCCGATTAATTTTATTATGATCTTTAGTTAAATCTTTAGAGTCTGAACGTGATGTTGACGGCAGAGTCATTATATGCTGCATGTTCCGTCGCAAGACTCGACGATTTTTAGTTTCCAGTCAATATGAACGTTCACCTCGTGCTCTATCTTTTACCTTAGCCTTTTCCCATACACCGTTAGTCCGCATTCGTACTGCTTCACCCGGTTGCAGTGACTTCAATCGCTTAGTACTCTTATTATAATATTCTTTATGCTTCTCAATATTTTTTAATCGATTTTCCTTTACTAGACGTCTGATTTTAGGACGCAACTTTTTAAGTTGCATAGGCAATCTATTATTAAGTCGGCGATTTATCAACAACTGGGCAGGTGAATATTCCTCTCCTGTTAGTGGCGTAGTTCTAAAATTTAGGATTACCAGCTGCCAATCTTCACCCGACTCATATGCTTTAATTAATATTGACTTCACTGTTCTCACGTTTCTTTCCGCTAAGCCGTTAGACCTAGGGTAATGAGGTGAGCTAGTAACATGTTCAAAACCCCATTTTTGACTAAACATTTTAAAATCCTCAGATGTGAACTGTGTTCCATTATCAGTATCAATTTTCTTAGGTATCCCAAACCTGCTAAATACTTCCTTCATTGCTTTAATAGTAGTAATACTTTGCAAATTACTTAATAAACACACTTCTACGAATTTTGAAAAATACACACACAAAATTTTATTAGTCAGTCCAGCTGTTTATTCCTAATAAAGTGGCATACGGTGGTAGGGCCACGCAGCAGCCTCGGCTGTTGCACAAATGGGCAGGCCCGTCCGGGTAACTACCACGACCTCACAGAAGACCGGCGTGAAGTGGAAGTATAGTGCTTTCGCGTTTCGTCTGGTGAGTGAGGTGGCCGGAACCCAATTTTCAAAAGGTTGTCAACGCATCTGTAACCCTCGGGTGTAGCAGATGTCCATGGGCGGCGGTATTCACTTAACATCAGGTGAACCGTCTGCTCGTTTGACAACCTTTCGCATAAATAATAAACACGTACAGAAGAAGCCGTGATAGCTCAGTGTCCGGGCGCTCGCCTTTAATTCAATATACTCGAGCAACCTGAGTTCGATCCCCGGTGCCGGCATCAATGAAATTTTTAACTTTAAGTGCTGACTTATCACGTGCTCCGCGTTTTAAAAAAACATCGTGAGGAAACCGCCCGTTCATACCGATTAGAAATAATAACAAAAAAATATATATATTTCGAAATATGTGAAGTCCGCCAATCCGCAGTGGGGCGCAAAGGTGAAGACTACCCTGATACCCTTTGTATAGAGGAGGCCTTTGCCCAGCAGTGGGCCATGTATAGGCTGTTACTTTACTTTTTTTACTTTACAGAAGAATTATACGTATAAAGATACACAAACACCCAGACACTTTTCAGCCGATGACAAGGAAGACTATGTTATTTAACGCGTGTCCGCCCGTTCAGGTACCGATGCCTGAAGTGCTTCAACTTCGACATGTGCCAGAAGCCTCTGTCTCTTTTTCCCGGCAGGCGTGAGATAGTAGAAATCGTCACGTAAGAAAACCACGTCTCGACGTCCGACTGTCTGTGTCTCTTTCTATTACACGTGAGATGTGGGAGAAACTTTCTATTACACGTGAGATGTGGGAGAAATCGCCACGCTAGGAAAAACTGTCACGTCGGTATGGAACCTCATTGTCTCTTTCTCTCTCTCTCTCTGTCTCTTTCTATCTCTCTGTCTCTTTCTATTATATTAGTTAATGGCTAACGAAATATTACAGCTCCTTCATATATTATTATTCTTACTTTTAACTCCACTTTTCCTTCACTATCAAAGTTTTTATCAAACGCTTTATCCTCAGACAACATCCGGAGAGGACGTGCGGGACTTCACGCGTGCGCTGCGCAACAAATTCAAATCGGCGAGATACTTCAAGAAGCATCCGAGAGTCGGATATCTGCCCGTCCAGACTGTTCTGGAAGGTATGCAACTCTTAGTACATAACTAGAATACTTAACCATATTTGTATAAGATACCTCAACGAGGTTCGTGTTTGTTAATAAAATGTTCGAGCCTTTTGCTTTTACTACATTTCTATAAAACGTGGCGCTGCTACCGCGAGGTTAACTTTATAAAGTTGTATTAAACATTTAATTTCATTAAACATCAATATTTACCGGGCTATTTATGAGAAAAAGTCTGAGAATGTATGAATCAGTCATTTGTAGTGATACACACAACGATTGGCGTATCTAGGGCTATTTTTCAGGGTGGGCCTGGGCCCTTACTACAGAAAAAAATCGAACACCGTGGAACTGTTAAACAACGCAACGAATTTTAATCAGCAATAGATATTATTTAAGTGGAAGGTTTACATGTAGTAAATATGCATATTATAGTAGAGAAAATTCGAGAAATTCAATGTCTACATTGCACCTCGCTCGGCTTCAATCTGCTTTTGGCGATGAAGGCAGCCTAGAATTTCGAATCGGTAACCTGGGGTGAAAAAATCGTGGGGTGGGCACTGGACCATACTGGGGTGGGCACGGCCCACACACACTACTACACAATGCTGAATAACGATTCCAATTGGCGTGTGTGCGCAGGCGACGCGCTGGAGTCGCCCGCGCCCTCGCCGCAGCACGCGGGGGGCGTCGGCGGGGTGGGGGCGGGGGCGGAGCGGGGGGAGCGGGCGACGACATGCACTCGCGCCTCGAGCTCTACGCCACTCGGCTGGCGCAGGTCGAGCTGGGCGCACGCGCCGCGGACACGCCCGACAGGTGACTCACGCACGCACACGCACACGCACACGCACACATACGCAGTGCAGGCAAGTGACTCACGCACGCACACAGTATAGACAATTGACTCACACATGCAGTACAGACGAAAATACATGTGGCTTTCTGCAGTACCGCAGAAAGAACTACGTAATAAAATATTCTATTCTACACCAAAATCCGAGGTTCAGGCTAGGCGCCCCGAGCGCCCGGCTTCCTCAAATCCGTCAGATCTGTAAAGGCCCCTAAGGGCAACAGTGGCTCATCCAGCCAAAAAAAAAAAAGAACAAAATTTCTATCAAATTTTTCTCATTAAAAAATGATAATCATTATTATAACGCCGCAAATGTATATTTGCGACACCCGTAGGGTTGTAGATGTGTTGCCATTACCACGTTAATAAAGTGGGCCCCGGCTACCTCACTCACCAAACAAAACGCAGAAATATAACATTTCCACTTCACACCTGTCTCTGAAGTCAGAATACTTCGCAGAACGAACCTAAGCGTTCGTGCAATAAGAAAGACTGCTGTAGAGACACAAAGCATAGTAGTTATGTTTGTTGTCATGTTTTTACCGGCATAGGCTAGGTTATTTACAACCGCACCGCCTGCTGACATCGATCCACTTAGAACCGCTAATTATCTGTGGGTCACACAGATGACTTTTTTTTTAAATATTGTCCTGTGTTATAAGGACGTTTTACATACATAAATTTCACGCGGATTTCAAACACCCAGATGCGAAACTACTATCTCCGGGTCACACAAATAGTTGTCCCGCGTGGGAATCGAACCCACGACCCCCGACGCCGAAGCCGATACCCTGGCAAGTGCGCCGCGGAGTCATCAAATTGAGAATCAAACCGTAGAGTCCCTCCGCGCGGAAGAAGCGAACCTTCGAGTACCACGCATTCACTCTCGCTCTGTCTCTTTTTTTTTTTATGTGAAAAGTTGCCAAACGAGCAGACGGCTCACCTGATGTTAAGCGAATACCGCCGCCCATGGACATCTGCCACACCAGAGGGTAGCAGATGCGTTGACAACCTTTTGACAATTGGGTTCCGGCCACCTCACTCACCAGACGAAACGCGAAAGTATTTGCCATACTTCCACTTTACGCCGGTCTGTGAGGTCGCGGTACTTACCCGGACGGGCCTGTACCGGGGCGTTAGTGGGCATTAGAAGTTTGACCTAATATGCCCCCAGCGACGAGGAGCACCAGCTGATCGCGCAGTACTGCGCGTCGCTGAACGGCGGCGAGGCGGGCGAGGCGGGCGAGGCGCCGCGCTCGCCCGTGCACGTGGTCTCCGTCATCCACCGCGAGCAGCGCCACGAGCTCGAGGCCATGATCCGGTGAGCGCTGCCACGCCCTGCCACGCCCTGCCACGCCCTGCCGCGCCCTGCCGCGCCCTGCCACCGTCTATGATGCTTACCATAATGTGTTATATCTCATTACAAAACCACCCGTTAAATTGATGTGTAATCTTTTAAAGATTTTAGAACGCTTCAAATAAATGCCTCATATTTCATGAATAACATTAAAAACACTCTCTAATTACGTGATTTGAGACGTAAAAAATCTAATTTTTAGGGTCTCGTGCCCAAAAGTTAAACTGCCTGTCTATCTATCTGTCTGTCAGTTTGTCACCAGGCTGTATCTCATGAGCCGTGATATGTTTTTTCCCAATACATATATACACGTAAATCGGCGCGACCACAATATCTGACTGTGACGATGGCGGTGTGCGTTCGCAGCGAGCTGGAGGAGGAAAACGCCAGCCTGCAAGCAGAGTACGAGCGCCTGAAGGCGAAGCAGACTCCTGGATCCACGCCCGAGGAGCAGCACGCCCTCGCAGAGAACAGGAACGCGCCCGTGGACCAGGTCGGACATGACGCGTCACGTGTCATCACGTGTCATCACCCTGTCATCACTCGCGGAAAAATATATTGATACTTAATAATATAATATTTTAACGTTCCATATGACTCTGTGGTGCCGTTGCTAAGCTTTTGGCTTCGGTGTCAGGGGTCGTGGGTTCGATTCCCACGCGGAATAAGTATTTGTATGACGCACAGATAATTATTCCGGTCCAGAAATTTGGGTGTAGGTTTCCTTAAGAGGGTTGACGTCAGCCAAATGGCGGGTCACAAAAGATATAGCCACACCCTCTTACAACATGATTCACATGTTGCGCCTACCCCACCTAGCTGGGATAATGGCAGGACGATGATAATGTAAAATAGTTTTGACATTAAAATATGTAGAAAAAGTACGAAAAGATTGTCGCTGTGGGAATCGAACCTACGTCTTCGGCATTCGCGGCCTGGCGCTTTAGTCACTAAGCTAAACGGCTGATTGCCACAGCGACGAATCGAGTCATCGGTTCGATTACCACAGCGGCGATAATCATTTCGTCCAATGAGAGCTTAAAGCAAACCTACATCGAAGTCGCGTCGGTTCTCAGGAGATGATGGCGGAGGCGCGGCTGCTGCGCCAGCACAAGGGCCGCCTCGAGGCCAGGATGCACATCCTGGAGGAGCACAACCGCCAGCTCGAGGCGCAGCTGCAGCGCCTGCGCACGCTGCTCGACGACGTGAGCCTGTGTGAATGAATGAATGAATGAATGAATGAATGAAGTTATATTAACGATTAAATTGGCGCATAACTAAGGCAATAAACTTAATGGGTAACTTAAACAAATGAGAAACTTAATCTAGGATTAACGCAAAGCGGGTACGTTAATTCAAGTACAGTGACACTGCAAACTGCATCCGATACAACTATCTGCAGATCGAACTAGTAGTTGTCTCATACCGGAATCGATCCCACGATCCCCGTTGCCGAAGTCGAATTCAATATGGAGTCGGAATACAAAATTATCGCCGCCTTTTAACATTTGCACGTAAGGGAGTTACCGACTTTGCTCACCTTTATAAGAGCTAGTTACCTTTAAGAAGAGCATCTAACAAAACGCAAAGTTATAACTACTTAGAGACTGACTCAGTGAGGCCTTAATGGCAGAAGCTACTCCTTCCTTTATAGTAAAATAAAACGCAAAAGTCGAAACGAGCAACAAGTGACAAGTTAAAAGTGACAGGTAATAGGTAACAGATAACAAAGACTAATGACAAATTACTTATGAGAGGCGACAGTTGACAGATGACAAAAACAAAGTAACAAATGGCAAATGACGTATGACAGGTGACAATTGACAGATAACAAGTAACCCATGATACACTGACATGACACTGGCAGAATTCTTTTAAGAGAGGCCATTAATCAAAGAAGAAGAAGAAGATGAAGAACTCATGATACATTACAAGTGGTACAAGTACAAGTAGGACAAGTTGCAAGTAATAGGTGACCAGTGACAGATGAAAAATCATAAGTGAGAGGCCAAAAATGACAAACTAGAGGCGACATTTGGTAGATGACCAATAACAGGACGGGCTAGAATTGACACATATAGATGACGAGTGACAGGTTAGGTGTGAAATAGGACAGACGACAATTTACAAGCGACACATGCTGTTACATACAGACAACTAGTCAAATGATCGGTTTCCGAACGCAGCATAGTAGCGAGCGCCGTATCAAGCATGACTGTCTGTCGTATTATACATTGTATTGTCATCTCATGTACTTGCACTCTAATGATAACATACAAAACGAACCGCCGTTGCGTACGCGCCAGTTATTCTCCACCCTATTTGACATAAGTACATACACAGTACATGTGACAAGCGACAAGTGACAAGCGACAAGGCCAACAGCCGCAGGGCTCGGCGGGCGCGCGCACCGGCACGCTGCAGACGCGCTCCGTGACGGCCTCGCAGCTGGCGACAGACTCGCCCGCCAAAATGCACAACGGCCTCTACCACGAGCACAACAGTGAGTGACCATTGCAATACTAATATATAGTATAGCGTCATCGTCATTTCGGCCCGTTTGAGTCCACTGCTGAACACAGATTTCCACGAAGTACGATCCTGAGCCACCTGCATCCATCGACACATTTATTTTTCCCGCACATTTGCACAGGTCGTCACTCCATCTAGTGGGGCGTCGTCCCGCACTGCGATGGCCAGTACGAGGCTGCAGTACAGTAATATATATATATATATATATATAAATAAATAAATATATCGAGGACACATTTTTGCACGGCGTTCTCTAGTCCCGAATTACTAAGCAACGCTCGTGCTATGGGCACTAGATAACGGAACGTACTCAAACATACATGTCTTCTGGGAATGAGTACATGTTGAATGAATGAGAATGAATTCTTCTTCTTTATTTTTTTTTTTTAAACTACCATTACTTTAGGATAACATTATCCTGTGGTGTAATGACGTTTTACAAACGTAAATTTCACGCAGACCAACACTCAGATGCGAAACAACAACCTGTGGGTCACACAAATAGTTGTCCCGTGTGGGAATCAAAACCACGACCCCCGACGCCGAAGCCAATACCTTGGCAACTGCGTCACGGAGTCATCAAATTCAGGCATTAGTGTCCCACTTTTGGGCAAAGGCCTCCTTCCATTTCTTCCACTCCTCCAAATACATATTATACGTATATAAAAAAATCAGACACTAGAAAAACACTATTTTCATCATACAATATTTTCCCGTAGTAGGGATCGAACCCACACCCCTGACGCAGGAGGCAGGTACACTATCCACTACGCTATTCAAGTCGTCAATGTGCTCATAATAATGTGGAATAAAAGTTATTTTTTAACCGACTTCAAAAACGAAGGTTCTCAATTCTGTATTTTTTTTTTTTCTTTTTTATGTTTGTTACCTCAGAACTTTCGCCTGAGGAGACCGATTTTGATGATTCCATTTTTATTTGAAAGCTGGTGCTTCACATGCGGTCCCATATTAATTTCATTGGTATTGGATCTTGGGCTCCGGAGATAAAAAAAGACTTGTTTTATTAACGAAAACAAAACCAGACTTCAAATATCTCGCTCTGTATTCATTTTATAATCGATTTTCAGGAGTTACCTACGTATCTCCGGAGCCCATGGTCGCTGTCCACAAGGCGGCTTTAATTTCTTATGTTATTTGTTAATTCACTTTAACAACAATAAGAAACAACAAAATGATAAATAACACCATTCTGATTAGCTCCTATCACTATCGAAGTTGGTAAAATAGGGAACATGGGGTTATATTGTATATCATGTAAAAAGGGTCGAGCAGTGAGTCCCAGCGACCACTGCGGCCTTAGAAAGAAAGCCTTGACACTTAGGATAAACTGTAGGATAAAGTTATCCTGTGTTGTAAGGACGTTTTACATACATAAATCTTACGTGGACAAACAACCAGTTCCGAAATAACTATCTGTAGCTATCACAAATAGCTGTCTCGAGTGGGAATCAAACTCACGGCAACTGCGTCACAGAGTCATCGACAGCCAGAAAAAAAATCAAAATAATTTATTCATCGACATAAGAAACTTACATTTCATCTATCGATAGTCATATTTTATTTTAAATCTACCATCATACCACTTCAAATACGGTTCTAACACCTGATGTAGTCTAATAATTATTTTGAAATTGGTATAGCCGCTTGTGTAGCGCGTGCGTGAATCGAACCCACGACCCCCGCGTGAACACCGTTAGCTTAGCCCAGGGATGGGGAAATGACGGCCAGCGGGCAATTAAAACCCCTCTTAATTAAATCGACCCGCAATAAACAAATGAATATTATAACGGACAGGATGTCTGATTCGATTGTTTGACTCGATTGTTTATAACGGACAGGATGTCTGACCATCACTCGATTGTTTTACTAGTTACTTCAGACTTTAAAATTGGACGCTTTAATTAAATGGACAGTCAAAATTTCGCCTTTCACCGGCGACCCGGCGCATACGATTTTTCTATTTATTTTTGTTTTCTACCGTTTTGGGCTGTACGTCCCACCTCCGAATCTCTTTCCCCGTCCCTGTGCTAGCCAATTGTCGATTGTCCGCCATTTTGACGCGTGGCCGTGCCAAAGATGGCGGTCGGGGCGAGCGCGAGCCGATGGAGCGGCCGCCGCCTCCGCCGCACAGCGTGCATTCGCTCATGCACTGCGCAGGTCAGCACCCCTACGCCGCTGGAGATTGCCACCACTAGACAAAATTAATGAATACACCGCTCGGTCAAATGTAACTTTGACTAGCCCAAGTTAATAAAAAATCTACTTGGTTAAATGAAACTTCGACTAGCCCAAATTAGTAAAAAATCTGCTTGGTTAAATGAAACTTTGACTAGCCCAAGTTAATGAATACGCAGCTCGGTTATTTGAAACTTTTCCAACGTTCATTGTACGCGTAAACAGGACCAACAGGATATAAAAAAGCAGTGTCACTGCTTGCACTCACATGTCCCACTACTGGGCAAAGGCCTCCTCTGTACAGAGGGTATTAAAGAATAGTCCACAACGCAACCCCACTACGGACTGGCGGAATTCGCATATCTTTGAAACATTTTTTTTGTTGTTATTTAGAAAATATGCAGGTTTACTTCACCGCTGAGCACGTGATAAGTCAGCACTTAATATCAACCATTTCATTGGTTACGAAAGCGGTTCCTATCACTATTACAATTTTGTATTTTTTTAGATTTTTATTTTATTATTAGTCTGTCCCGTGATCATGAACGCTGGAAAGATATCGAAACGTTGGCAGTTTAAAAATAAAATTAAAACGCGATAAAATCCGTGAAATGTGAAATAGCTTCATTAAATCAATGTATAATTTTCGCATGAAAACAATAAATCGATATAAAAAATTACTTATTTCATGCTCCGAAACTTGGGTATTAAAAGACACTAAAAGTCTAACAATTGTCTATGGTCCTCGTTAATTTCTCAATGCTCTTTATTAAAAGAGAAACTAATGTCTTAAAACAATTACATTTTATATGATTAAAAAGCGAATAATAATTTATTAATGCGCAAAATGTAATATATTTTGCCCCTAATTCATTTGTTTTAAATACTCTTAGAAATATCAATCACTTTTGTCAGATTGCAATCTCCAGTAGTGAACATTTGGTTTGGCTGTTTTTCCCGTTTTGTCTAGCTCTTCGTTGTTCGCTGCGTTGTTTTCGTTGCCCAGTTACAACCACTTACTTGTAACGGAGTGGTTTTAATTTTCAGTTTTATTTTTTCGCTTTTTAAGTGTTCATGGCTATGTTAACACATTCTACTTATTGTCCATTGAAACGAATACCTACAAATATTTCACAATTTTCACTGTTATGAATATTATTTTGTAGTCTAAAAAAAAATTTTATGATTACTAGCAAGTTTCACTCACTTTCATATGCCACGTTCAATTATTCATTTTCTTGCTGAATCTTGACGACTAAAATATTTGCTCTTAATGATAGTTGACATTTATTTATCTTTGAATATTGTTTGCTTCAAATTGAGTTTTAATGCAAAATGCTTTTACAAATGTTTTGCACGAGAACTGCATGGCTGTTGTGTTGTTAGTTTGGAATTTTTTCTCTGACGTATTGAATAACCAACGGTTTTCTGTCAATGCTTTCAATTCAGGACGCATACCATGAGGTAAAGTTATTTTTAAGTGAATTATTTACTGAAATGCTGTATTACTGTACCGAGTTATTAAATTATAAAAAATGCCAAAACTTTTCAAGACAGTACATAATGTAATACACCTTTTTTTTTCATTGTCCATTTTCTCGCCTAGCATCAGCACAATATATAAATAATGTTGTTAATGAGTATTGGCTAGTTATTTTTCACGGCCGACCGCCCGCCTAGTATAAATAGGTAAACATTTATTATATAAACATACATTTTTTTTCATGTGAGTAGGTGACAAGCTATCTGGCGGTTTACTGACGTTAAGTGTTAACCTTTCCATGGGTATTAGCAACACCCGTAGAGTTATAGACGTGTTGCCACCTTTTACTAAAGTGGGACATATATTTTTATTTCATTTACATGGGTTATTTATGACAACCTTTGTGTATGTTACACTTTGGCTTTAAAAGGCTTACATCATCAGCCACATCTTTCTATCCCGATAGACGATGAGTTATTCGTTGCAAACTAGACTAACGGAACGTCTGTTTGCAGACGACCTCGGGCGCGCCGTTGAGGAGCTGGTGTCGGTGATGACGGACGACCAGACCAACCAGGCGTCCAACTCGCCGCCGGGATACACCAACGGGAAGCCGGCGGAGCCCAAGGAGTAAACTCACCCGACACGAACGCTCTGGCGACACTTCGGCTAGCACAAGTCAAGACCTCGGTTCGAACATTCCACCTGCACAGTCCCATCCCCCCTATGCTATCGGCTACCACAAGTCCTCGGTTCGAACATTCCACCGGCACAGTACCCCCATCCCCCCCTATACTAACCTTCGACTCGTCACTAACCAGCCCGTGTACCCGTCTGTACCTTATTATACATGAGCACCTAACACTCCCCCCCGCAGCAGGGCCGGCCAGCTGACGAGCAGTTGGCCCTCGCAGGACTCCAATAGGGTCCGTGCAAGGGTCCGATCCTGCGGCGGCCATGCGGAGCTAGACGCGCGCGTTTACCTCCTAATGGCCGAAAGTCCGCCTGACAAAGATCGTCGTATGCAACGCTTATTGTATTAATAAGGGCGTGCCGTTGTTGCAGTACGTAACGTGATCGAGTCACTCTGAACTCTTATACAACTCTATAGAACTAACATCTCCCCTAACCCACCACCGTAGATCTTCTTGATACTTTCTTTTTGATTAAATATCGACTCCGGAAAAGGCTGCCCCAAAGTGTCGCCAGAGCGCAGCGATCCAACGAAAAAGACAAAGCTTACGAGCATTTAAGTATGTTAAAAAAATGAACTGTACCAAATTTGTCTATATACCCTACTACTACTACATTTATTAATCGTTTAAGTACATATCTTGTTAGTACAATCTTCATTGTGTAACTCTCATATCACTTCGTGTAAATTCTCATATCATTTTTGCTGTGTATATGAAATATAAAACCGACACATGTAAAAAATGTCACCGACGGAACAAGTAATGATAAAGCGAATCATTTTATGGTTTCGGTAATCCCGAGAAATCGACTGGACAGCTTGAGGGATGGAGCTACAAGCTTTAAATATCACAAGTTAGCTTTAAATAATGCCCCGTTTTGAGACATTTACGCAACCGGTTAGGGTTGCCAACCATAATTTTAATAACGTATTCTACTTTATTTTTGGTAAATATACTTCATAATTTTGCATAAAAATAAAGCATGTAAAATACTCTATTTTCAATCTTTACTGTTATGCATAAAATAAAACACAATGTATGTACCTATATGGATAATTGTTGAACTTTTATCGATACTGAACTGAAACAGAACACTCAACTTATAAGCTTTTGCTGTTAATTATTTATGATATAATTAAACAAAAACATTTTGATCGTAATAATTTGTTAATTTGTCATGGCTTCCAAAAATTTTAGTATAGTGAAAAACTGAGTGGAGAAAAAAATAAGATTTAAAAAAAAAATATTTTTCTTTATACATTTAATTTTTCTCTACTTGAAAATGAAAAACTTTATTTTTCTCAAAAACAGTTGGCAACCCTACAACAGGTAAGCATTTCTTATGATTCCGTTCCGACGTGGCGAAAGAGGGCCTATGTGTTAGCGAAATGTATTTTAAACTGTAGGTAAAATCTCAATCTTCATACAATGTTATGCCATACTAAGAAAATGGCCGTAGTTATTAAACGATTCGTTAACAGTTTTGCGAGTAGCGCGTAGATGTAGCGAAAATGATTATCGGGCATGTTATTTATGTGCATGCTTTTGTATGTTACATGTTATCGACTTATCGGAAAAGAAATAATGTATCGTTAGTTGGAAATTATGAATAATCAAGCTTCGACGCAACCTAGATTACAGTTTCATTGCGATTTGTTTCCCGCCCAAACGGCATCAAAACGTCACCGATTAAAGCCATAGACAATATTTTTTTCTTTTGGCTAATAACCTAAATAAAATTCGTTTCGTTTCGACACTAAAGAATCGTGTATTATTCGAATGAATGGCTCTTTTAATTGATTGTGGCGGGAAACAAATCGTTAACTCCCTCGTTTCGGGATCTGGAACACAGTAGGAAGTCTTTTTAGCGATTTATAAAAAAAAAAAACATGTATCCGAAACTTCTTCACTATCACTGACATACACATTTCTTCTAGGGTATTATTATATACTATCGACGCGACTATCTCGTCGCTCAGTTTTCAGACATTTTTGTACTTGTAAGATGATGCCTACCTTTTAGATAAGATTATATTCGAGAGATGACTTTTATACGAATGTTAAGTGAGCTGTTGACGCTAACTATATCATTAAGTACTTCCGACTTAACCATATCAGGTTTATCATTTTACATTTTTATTGACGTGCGCCGTCGGCCGTTGTGTTTGAATGATTGAATTGTTGTTTCCTCGGCTGGCATCGTGCCGAACGTTTTGTATGGCGGAAACTATTTACTTGTTCTATTTTTTAATTTGGCTAATAATAGATTTTAAGACGAAAAGAGCACAATTTATTGTAACCTTAACGAATGGAATTATTATTACGGAGTCTACACTAATATATTGTTATTAATATTATTTTATTATATTTTAATCGGTAGCTCGTACGGTTTTCTGTTTCGAAATTATTTTAAAAACACTTATTGGCAACTATTACAATATTAAATATATCTACTATGTACTTTTCGCATTTATTTGTATATTTTACTGCGTTTATAATGTTTTAGAAGATAAATCCAAATAAACATTCAGCATAGTATGGAATTTTTGTTTTTATTAATCACCCCAATGACCTATTTATTCAAAAATAAATAAAATCAGTTGTTTAAACTCGATTGTGTCTAAAGTACGAGTATATTACTTTTGCGTCTCGTCTGGAGAGTGAGGTAACTGGAGCGTACTTTTTTAGTGTTGCAAATTGTCCACGGGCCGCGATAATTACATAAGTGCAGTCTGCTCGGTTGCCTTCTTGCCCCACAACAGACTGAATGAATAGGTATAGAATTGATTGACGTGAAAGAGAACAATAAATGCATATGCTCAAATTATTATATTACATTTACAAAAATTAATACACAAACATATTTGAAAGTTGAGAAGCAACCTGCGTATGTGAGCAGAAGAGTATCGGGCCTGATTCAAATCAAGTATTATTATTATTATTATATATACTTTATTGTACACCACAAAAAGATTTATACAGTTCATATAAAATAAATCTTAAAAGCTAGGTACAATAAGGCGGTCTTATCGCTAAAGAGCGATCTCTTCCAGACAACCTTAGGACAAGGAAAATAAACTTATGAATAGTGGGAGGTGGTGTGCTTAATAAACTTACTTAATAATAATAAAATAAATAAATTATAATAAACATACATAAACATAAACAATGGTATCAACGATTACTACAACGATATTATTATCTTTTTATTCTTTTGTTTAGTTTCTTTTTTTTGTAACGGGCGACAAAGCGCAGTTAATAAAAGTTATAAAACTCTGTTCCATTGTCTGTATCGTCCTATCAGCCTCCTCAGTTGCCTGGGGAAGCTCTACGAGCGGCTATTATTAAATAGGCTCAAAGAGCACGTATTTTCCAACGGCCTTCTGCCGGCGGAACAATTCGGCTTTCGAGCTAGACGTTCCTGTCCCGACCAATTAGCGCCTAACGGAACACATCCTGAAAGGCTTAAATCATCCGAAACATATTACACGGGGGCTCTTTTCTTAGATGTCGCAAAGGCATTCGACAAGGTCTGGCACAACGGCTTGCTTTACAAGCTGTACACACTCAAAGTGCCAGATAGACTCGTACACACCATCCGGGCCTTCCTGTTAAACCGATCTTTTCGATATCGGGTTGAGGGCACCCTCTCCACAAGCCGCCGCCTCACGGCAGGCGTTCCACAAGGCTCCTGCCTCTCACCCTTACTCTTTACGCTCTACACGAGCGACATACCCAAAGACCCCCACGTCAATCTCGCGCTATATTTAATATCCCTTTATGGCCAACCGCTCCCCTGGGAGAAAAAGGTCAAATACTTAGGAGTCACTTTCGACTCGCGTATGTCATTTACTACGCACATTCGCAATAGAGCCGCGTTCGTCTCCGGCCGGCTACACAATTTAACTAACGCTAAAAGTAAAATGCCCTTAAGGCACAAATTATTATTATATAAGACCTGCATATGACCTATTATGTCCTACGCATGCATGACCTTCGCCCACACGCACCCTACTCGCTTGTACAAGCTGCAAATAGTACAAAATAAGTTCATCCGCTGTGCAACCGGTGCGCAGTGTTATCAACGCAACGTCGATCTGCACAGCGATTACAGACTCCCGACGATTCGCGAATATTTTAAAGACCTGATCAATCGGTTCTTCGATAGAGCCGAACATCATCCCAACCAACCCGACACAAACGCGAACGTCAACAAGCGTCGCCCGCGAAACGTCCTAATCGAACCGATCGAGGAAGGGGACTTAGATACGCCGGACCCACCGCCGGGGGTCCCGCCGGATAATACTACACCCACACCTAGTGTAACAACAAACACAATAGTTCGCCCTCGCATCCGAGCACGGCGAGACCAACACAACGCGTACACAAGGTACAACCGCGTTCCAGGGCGGTTCTCACCGCCCCTGCCACCGATTAGCTAAATACACAGTCGACGTCCTTAGATGAAATGAAATAGTTAAACGCACGCATGAGCACATGCGCGGCCCTACCCACAGCGGAGGGCCCAAACCCGTGGGTTCTGGCTAGCCCACCGGTTCTGCGTCAGATGAAGCTTTAATAGTCTTGGGACTGAAAGAAAAAACATCAAGCCTGTTCATACTGTATTTTTAGGAGTTAAATTTTATTCACATTTTTGAAAAAAAATAAAAGTACACAAAAAGAAAAAGAAAAATATAATTTAATAGTGCTGTGCTGCTTTTGTGGTCGTCAGGCCAAGGCTTATGTGCCTTGTGTATATATTTTAAATTCTTCCGCCCTAAGTTATAATACTGTTATGTATTTAGAGATGCAAGCAAACTACGGGGCGGTCAGTTACACACTGTCTTTATTCGCGCTCGGCCAGCGCCTCGCGTAATACATAATTATGTACCCTCATATACATAACATTCCCTCCACCTTTTAGCCATAGTAACAATACGGAAGAATAAACTAAATAATTAACTAATATTAACAAATGAAAAGCAAAATAGAATAAATAAATCGAGATAACTTAAACTAAAAAAATCTTTTAAAGCTTAGGAATGAGTTTGGTTGGTTAAGTTCAACACTATCATCGTCACGTTCGCCGGGCGAGTCGGAGCGGATCGGTGTTAGCTCGCGCCTGCGCGGGACGGGCACCGCAGGAGATGTCGCGAGGTTCAAATCCAGGGGCGGGCTAGCGATATCCTCATTCTCCTTTTCCCCCGGGTCAGCTCGTGCGGGCGACGATACATTAAGCCTCTCCGAGAATTCGCAATCATTACTGCCCTGAGCGCTTGATTGGATGTCGGGGACGACATCGGGACTCCAACCTTCAAGGTTTTTGGGCTCACATGCGGGTGTAC